GGGGGGGGCGTGCACACACACACACACACACACACACACACACACACACACACACACACACACACACACACACACACTCTGGTTTGGATATTCCCTTGAAAAGCCTGCTGCCCAAGCTGAAGCCTGTAATTGCCGCAGCTATCCTTCTGTCTCTCTTGCTTTTAAGTACATAGCCACGCCGCAATCCCGCTTTCGCCCCCTTCTCTCCCCCCCTCGCGTCCTGCAACGCGACAGATACCATTGTTATTGTTGTTGAAGAACATCACGCCACTTTTGTTTGGGAATATCTCAAGACGCTGCGTTTCTAGCCACGCCGCAATCCCGCTTTCGCCCCCTTCTCTCCCCCCCTCGCGTCCTGCAACGCGACAGATACCATTGTTATTGTTGTTGAAGAACATCACGCCACTTTTGTTTGGGAATATCTCAAGACGCTGCGTTTCCTTTTGTGCTACCCTCATGGCGTTCGTTCTGGGAAGCGAAAATGGTTAGATTATACACAGGCATTGTTTCTCTGTCGAGCGCGGCTGCAACAGACACTTGGCCAGTTTTGGGGTTAATGGTGAAAACCTTTTTATCAAACTGTGGTGCAATGGAGTATGAAAATCGGCTCCAGCTTGGGACAGAGTCTGAGTCCTCGGCACTCACAAACGTAACCAGACCACCAGGTGAGAGACCTTCACTAACTTGCACGTCATACAACTCTTGAGAAAAGACAGGCGGATCATTGGCATCCAGTATTGTGATGTTCACAAAAACCTCATCGATATCTGCACCGCGGATAGCACCGGCGTTTTTGGCCATCACTCTAAGTGAAATCTTTTCCTCTTTCTCGCGGTCCAGTACACCTGTGACATAAATCTGTCCAGTTCGCTTGTTGATGCCAAAGCCCTTCCTCCTGCTTTTCCCAAAAATGAGGTAGTAGACAACTCCATCGTCACCTTGGTCACGATCACTTGCAAAAACTTCCCCAACCACTGTTCCTTTTGGAGCGGCTTCAGATATTTCAAAGTAGTACTCTTTGGAGACAAAACGGGGTACGTATTCATTGGCTCCCTTTAGCTGAATGTTGACATTGGCAAAGCTGCAGCGTTCCTCGTCTGGGACGTTGAATGCCTTCACTGTCAAATGATAGACCTGTTTAGCCTCATAATCTAAGAACCCCTGAGTGGTGATGGTGCCCGTGTTGGGATCAATAACAAAGAGGTCACTGTCTGATGATTGTATGACATAGGCCACGACGGCGTTAGCTCCCGAATCAAGGTCACTGGCATTCATTTTCACCACGGTGGTACCACTTGGAACGTTCTCCTGTACGATAGGGTAGTACTCGTCTGGATCAAACAGTGGAGGATTGTCATTCACATCAGTCACGTGAATCGTGACAGTGACATAGCTGGATTTTGCAATCCAACCACCATCTGTAGCTGAAACTCTCAGCTCGTGTTGTTGGTTTTCTTCGAAATCCAGAGACTGCGCTAGGGATAACACCCCTGTTTTGCTATTAAGTGTAAACAACCCTTTCGTGTTTCCTGATGTAATATTATACTTGATAAGGCCATTCATTTCTTTGTCTTTGTCTCTGGCTGACAGGGTCCTTATTGCTGTTCCCACAACAAGGCTTTCAGGCACTGTGGCTGAGATTTGGCTTTGCGAGAACTCAGGCGTGTGGTGGTTTTCCTCTGTGACGGCGATTCGCACTGCTGTTTGTGTGGACAAAGGGGGATTTCCTCTGTCGCTGGCTGCGACGTCCATGAGGAAAAGCTTGTTTATGTCAGATATGAGGGGTGATGCGACAGTGACCCACCCGCTCATTTTATCTAATTTGAATTTACTAGAGCTATTACCTCCTGTAATTAAGTACTCAACTTCAGAGTTGAGGCCAAAGTCTTTTTTGTCATGAGCTACAATTTTTAGTAGTCTGGTACCAACTTTGACACTCTTTGTGACAGGAGTAAAGTAGCCTGGTGAATCAAACTCGGGAGGATTATCGTTACTGTCAACGATATTCACAATGACTGTCGTCTCACTCATTAAGGGTTTGCGCCCACGATCTGAGGCCGTGACAATGAAACTCTGGCGATTAATGTTCAAACTGCTGGTGCCTGTCGAATTCAGATATCTCAACTGTTGCTTCACAAATATCTCTCCGGAGCTGGCGTTAATTCTGAAGTACTCCGACTGGGACCGAATAAAATAAAATATTTTGCCATTGAAACCTTCATCGGGATCAGTGGCTGACACCTGCGTTACCAAGGAGCCCACCTCAGTCAACTCAGGGTAGTCAAGGTAATAGGATGGACGACTAAATCTGGGGGCATTGTCGTTGATATCTGTTATGAATATGGTGACATCTGTGCTAACTGT